ATTTGGCCTTTTAAAGGCTTGTGGTCCTAAACTTTTGATCAGCAGTAAAACAGCCTGTTTCGGTTTAAGCATTGTTTTCAATAAATGCATGCTCAAAAAAAATGTTTTGTCTCACTCCCATTTCTTGGAACCTTGTTATGATCCAACCATGCAAAATATAATGTTTTGCCATTTTTCAAGTGGTCTTAAACTTTTGTTTGGGACTGTATGTTTAGGCACTGAACACTAATGGTTAGGTTCAGGAAAAGATCTTGGTTTGGAATATAACCCCTTCTCAAAAGTGGCCATGCGCACTGAGAAATTATGCTTCCCAGTGAGTTTAAATATGGTGCCAATTCATACTTTAGGAGTGTCCATATTCTATGACTTTGAAGTAAGACCTGTTTATGGGTGGAACCATAAACCCAGTGTGTCACTGCACCAACACCAAAGGACAACTTGTGGTTACCCGATAGATGCCCGTCTTGACACAACAACAGTATCTGACTCCCTAGGAATGAGACCAGGCATACTACACTATTATTACATACTACATTGTAGTGCTATATGTTAAAATAATGGTGTGATTTCACGGTCTGCCAAACAACATTTGCACCATTCTGGAGCCAAATATCAATTAATTAAAATCACTGTTGGCATACCTCACCCTTGACTATAAAAACTGAAGTAAGTTGTACAGGGTAGGATAACAAACGCAAATCTGTTTACCATTGCTATCTGGTTACTGTTAATGAATTGAAGATCCTATAGCATGGGTTTGATTCTCAGCTGTTCCAGAGGCTGAGAGGAACGATCCTCTTGAAGCAGGCGGACTGATAAAACCAAAGTGCGAGATCTCACATTCTGCAATCCAGACCTGCTTGAATGAGGATGGAATAAAACTCTTGCCAGAATTGGAACTAAACGTTGATTCAAAGAGCAAAAAGAGGACACTGGTTATGAAACCGGCCACATCTTCATGCTCTGGCGTGTACAATTGTAAAACTGATGATGATTCAGAGTTCAACACTTTCTGTGTGGAGGTGAAAGGTGATATGATCTCTTTTGGCCATGTTTTCTTGGCAAATGTTTTAACTGTTCTGTTTTGTACACCTTCATGACCTCTAATACTTAACAAAGCAAAACCTGATCATCATTGTATCCATCGTAGCTGATTTTCTTAAACGTCTAAACGTTTAGCTGCTTTCTGTATACATGCTTTACATTTTAGGACAGCTTCTTCAGTGTCCAGCATGTATTTTGATGAACTTTTTTTCCCGCAAATCTGTGTAAATAGTATTTCATGAGTGCACTGCCACACATATGTTTTTACATCACTTCAAATGTGGCTTAACACCCACCAATGCTTCTGATGTCTGTGAGGAGTTATTATCTTGACAGCAAAGTTTAAAATCAGCATGACTAGGCTGTGAAAACTTGTGCATGAGCATAAATAATGAGATCTAGATTCATCCGAAAACTTATTTTAGTATATTTTTTTGTTTTTGTTTTTTTCTGCAGCACCACCGGTAACGTTTGCTGATATCCCAGAGACTGACCTTTTCCAGAGTGTTGTGGAACATGAACAGCTTGTTCTGTCATGTGAAGTATCAAGGTGTGATGGTGTTGTCAAATGGTACAAAGACGGAACTGAAATGCAACCAACCAATAATGTTACAATCCAAGCAGAGGGCACCAAAAGAAAGCTGATTATAAATTCAGCCCAACTGTCCGATACAGCTACATACACATCTCGTGCAGGAGACAACGTTTTAGTCTTCAAAGTTAACATACGAGGTAATAAAATACTCAAATACAACAGTCCAGAATTCAAAAACTACATCTGCTGATTGTATCTGCATATACAGATGTGGCTTCAATTACTTGTACTCTTTCTCCAAAGAACCTCCTGTGACGATAATCTATCCCAAGGAGGATGTCCATCTTGACCGTCATGTCCCCGATGAAATTATTCTGAGCTGTGAACTGTCTCGTGCCAGTGGTGTGGTCAGCTGGTATAAAGACGGTCAAAAGCTTCAAGAGAGTGAGAACATCAAGCTCAAGGTAGAAGGGCCTTATCGACGACTTAAGATACTGTCTAGTGGAGTAGAGGATTCTGGAGAATACGTCTGTGATACAGCTGACGATTCAATATTCTTTCACCTAAATATCACAGGTACAAACACCTGACACTATAGATACTGTCTGTGCATGTGGGGATATGTCACTGTTCTAAGAGAAAGGAGCACAATGTCCTATTAGGGGTTTGGCATATTTAAATCAAACAAGTCAATGTCACGCATCATCAGAACATTTTTAAGGCTAAAATATTGACATCTAAATGGCCTCCCACCAAGGTAAGGTGAAATTAACTCTGGTCTGTTGCTCTACAAAGAGCTGAGAAATATTTTAACTGCTGCATACAGAAGCCTTTACAATATTATGCAGTATTGTTTTAATTGAAAGGCTGGGTAATACCGTTCACTTTCAGAACCTCCAGTGAAGATTGTATCCCCAAGTCAGTCAGAAATGGAACTGTGTCAGCAGACCTCTGAGAGGATGGTGCTAAGCTGTGAGATCTCACGGCCCAATGCAATGGTACGCTGGTATCGTGATGGACTCGAGGTGGAGGAGAATGACAATCTCATTCTGGAGGTGGATGGTGTCTACAGAAGACTTATTATACCTGAAACCACTGTCAAAGATTCAGCAGAATATGTGTGCGACACAGCGGATGACTCCAAGACGTTCTTTGTAAACATAGCAGGTAATTAAAATTAATAATTAGAAGGCTCTTGCTATGTCAGCATATATCCACTCTAACTTAAGATTCACTTAACACACAGAGCCTTCTGTTCGCTTCATTCGTCCTCGGAAGATGGCAAGCAGAGTAGAGAAAATGGTCGGGGAGACTCTAGTTCTAGACTGCGAGGTTTCAAGATCAAATGCTGAAGTCACTTGGAAGAAGAATGGGGAAGAAGTTGAAGACTCTAGAAACATCACAATCCTTGAAGATGGCGTCATCCGTCAGTTGACCATTCACTCGCTGACAGTGGAAGATGCTGGGCAATATGTCTGCGACGCAAAAGACGATGTAATGGATTTCAGTGTGATTGTGCAAGGTAGGTTAGGCCTCATGCCTGAATTATGCTTCTGGGGTGAATCTATGTAGAGCCACTGATGTTGCCCATGGAAGTGGCAGGCTGCATTAATGGTGATGTGTGGTTATATTTCTAGGAAGGCTATACCCTAAGGTTTCATAAGGGTTTGTGCTTACGACATATCTATGGTGTAGATTTAACATAGACGTACTGTCTGTAAACAGGCCTAGAGACTAGTTGCTGATCTCCAGTTGCTAGAGAAAAATGTGTATGTGTCCCAGCACCAAAAACCTTGTGGTTGTTTTGGTTTCTAGCAGATTGCTGCAGTTGCCTGTAGTGTGCATGAAAGATAGAGATTTGTCTGCAAACACTTGACATTTACACTCCAAGCAGCAGTAAAACTTGGAAAACATTGACAAAAGTAGGACATTATTGCTTTAACAAACACATTTTAGAAGGCACAACTTTTACTTTGAAGGCAAATGGTTTCCAGACTGTTTCACTATCATTTGGGGAATAGTTTGCGAGTGCAGCGTATATAGCTTGACTGTCCTGCAACCATTGGCTAGCAGTGAAGGAATACATTTTTCCTTTGCAGATGGTCTGGCAATTATTCTGTTCCAATAAATGGAATGTTCTGTTTTCTTCATTTTCAGAATTACCTGTAAAAATTCTTGGAAAAACAGATGCAAAAATAGAAAAACAGTTCTTAGTATCAGATGACATTATTCTTGTATGTGAACTCTCAAGAGCCAATGCCTCAGTCAGCTGGTATAAAGATGACAAGCTTATTGATGACAATGAGCGATACTGCATCGAAGAGCAAGGTGTTTTCCGATCTCTGGTGGTCCTAAATGCGGCATTTGAAGATTCAGGGGAATATACCTGCGATGCAGTGGATGATAAAATGGTCTTCTATATCACTGTCAAAGGTAATATTAATAATAAATACTTAACAACTTGTCTTTCCTTTATGTTCAACACAAAATGATAACGTGCTCGTTTTTGTTCAGAGCCTCCTGTGCAGATCATTGGAAATGCAGGCCACCCAGAGCATCATATACTGGTAGCAGGAGATGATCTTATTTTGGAGTGTGAAGTGTCTCGGCCAAACGCCACAGTTGAGTGGTTATGGAACGGCAAGAGACTGAAACCAGATACTCGCGTAAAAATTGACAGCTATGACGTTGTTAGGAAGCTTGTTCTCTCTGGACTTCAGCCCTCGGACTCTGGAGAATACATTTGCGATGCCCTCGATGACAAATTGATAACAATTGTAGAGGTCCAAGGTAAGTTAAGATGATGTTCAAAGATGTGTCAGAATTTCATATGACTAGGTTTAACCTCCTACGACCCAAACTCTTTCATGGCATGCATTTTTAATTTTTCTTTGCTATTTGGGTTGATTGGGACCTGATTTTTGTTTCTGAGAAAAATGAGATCCACATATGAGGACATTCGTTTTAAATTTTGATTGAACAGTGGCAGTATAACGTCCTTGTAAGTGGATATCAGGCCCTTGTAGAGAAAAATTAAGTATTTTGGTCTAGACAACCCAAAATGTGATGTCCACATATGTGGACGCCAGGTCCTAGGGGGTTAATGATGCTTGCACTTGGAATTTCAAGCAGCTTCTTTGTAAATGTATTTTTGCTCAGAGCCGCCAGCCAAGTTTCTGAATAAAAAAGCAAACAACATCACAGCCTATGAAAACGAGAGCGTCACACTGTGTGCCATTGTGAGCCATGAAAGAGCAAATGTTCGGTGGCTGAAAGATGGCCAACTATTGAACGAGGAGAACATTCACATCTCCAGTGTGGGTAATACCCACAAGCTCACCATTAATCCTCTGCAGCTGTCTAATTCTGGAGAATATGTCTGTGACGTAAAGACAGATGAGATGTATTTCAGTCTTTTAGTCAAAGGTAGGAATTTGTCACTTAACAAAATGTGACCTCTCTTTCTAAGTATTTGATTACAAGATGCCATCATCTAAAACTGTATTTCTTTGCCCAACAGAAATGAAGGTTAAATTTATTAGACAGTTGGAGAATATCAAGGCTCTAAAGGGAACCCACCTTACGTTACAATGTGAGATCAACAAGCCAAAAGGAGACGTTCAGTGGCTGAAAAATGGCAATGAGATCTCTCCAAGCCGTCAGCACACAATCAGGGCTCAAGGTAGAGAGCGGAGCTTTACCATCCACCAACTAATGGAGGAAGACAGTGGAGAATATGTCTGTGAATCCACAGATGACAGGACCTCAGCCACTGTTACTGTAGAAAGTAAGTCCATGTAAATCATTAAGAGAGACAATATGCTTGCCCATGTGCAATTGTAACATGTGAGCAAAGTTTGAGCTCACAATTCATATGAATGTTTTTCAGCCCCCCGTATTATTGAGTTCATAGCAGAGCTTCGTAATGTCATCATCTGTGAAGGAGAAGATGCCGTTTTTAAGTGTGTGGTTTCACCAGAGGACACCAAGTTGGTGTGGCGCTTAAACGGCAAGCAAGTAGCCCTGAACGAGCGCACTGTGGTTTCCAGCAATGGGCTATGCCACATGCTCTGCATCAACAACTGCGTGGTTTCAGATAGCAGCAGAGTGACAGCTGATGCAGAGGGGTTGATTTCAGAGGCAGAACTACAGGTTCAAGGTGAGTTGCGGCCCCTGCGATTGACACTTTACAAATTTTTTCTGAATGATCCATAGAGGTTAGAATATTCAACATTAAGTTTCCTTATTTTTCTCTGGTGACTATCAAGCTTCAGTGGAGTAGTTTACCTTTAATGGCATATATGACACATATACCTTGCAAACAACTTTAAACTATTGAAAAGGTGACTTTGACAGCTTGCACCTCACAGGTTCTCATATCAGAATTCCTCTGGTTACTGACAGAGACAAGTGGCTCAGTGGTATTGGCGTGTATTGCACTGCAGGGGGTAAGGCCCCACAGAGCCTTTTACTCATTCTCTGTGCTTAAACTTGCCATGCACCTTTGCTGGTTTACATATTCCCGTTGGTTTGGGTGTGGCCTCACAAAAACCACATACATAACTTAAGCATACTGTAATTGAATATAAGTGATGCAATAAAACTGTTGACACGCTGTTATATACTAACTCCTAACATTCACTTCAAGAGCAACAGGTGCTGTTCAGTAAGAAAATGACACCAGTTGTAGCTGAAGAATACAGTGAAGCAACTCTAGAAGTGGAGGTGAGTGTGGATTCGGGAGAGGTGCAGTGGATGAGGCAAGGGGTGCTAATCCACCCTGGAGCCAAGTATACTCTGAAGCACAAGGGCCGCAAACACAGTCTCACCCTCCACAAAGTGTCAATGTCTGACCGGGGCACCTATAGCTGTGAAACCCTTCATGACCGCACACAAGCCCAGCTCACAGTGGAACGTAAGTGCCCACGTGTTCTCACTATGCCCTGTTGTTGTTTGTTTACTGCTGTTGCCGACAACCCCATCTCACGCGCAGCCTCCATCACTGCTTCATATGAAGGCAAATTTCAATTAACTGAGTAAGAGTAATTTGAGTGACCTGGGGACCAGGTTGGCACTTGTACTGAAATATGATGGAATCCAACAGGTGATATCCTTACAGCCCAAGCTGACTTTCGGACCAGCGTTTTCTGTTGTGACGCAGGACCAACAAAGCCCTGATAATTACACATGGGCAGGATGCACCAAATTCTATTCTAAGGGTTAAATGCTTGATAATTAAAAGATGCCTCTGTTCACAGCCCATAATTTGATTTTGTAAACAAAATAGAAAATTCCTATGAATAAGCGTCATTTAACTTTCTCGAGAGCATTGAGGCCTGGCATACTGTAAAACTGGTATGTTGTGGTGATTAAGATGTACTTATGCTTGGTTTTCTTTGCAGATGCTTCTTGTGTTTCGTAGTCCTATGAGCCACAGGCCAGTGGGTGAATTAAAGGCTGTTCTTTCAACACTAGTGTGGGTGGGAAGGGGAAAGTCAGTACTTCAGGCTGCTGTTGGCACCTCCTATGAATTTGGATCTCCTCCTATTGCATCTAAATTTACACCCTGGCCTTCAAAATTGAGGTTGTTGTCATCAGGTCTCCAAAATAAACACTCCTTTTTTTCCACAGGGAATGTGTGTCTGTGTTAGAATAAGTGAAAAATGTTGGCCCTTCCAAAGTGCACTGGGCTTTTGCGTAAAGCCCAGTGCTCAAATGGCTTGTGTACGTGCCAGCTTGTATTGTTTAACCACTGTGCACCAAAAAGACTCCACGCCTGTTCTCCGACTATAAAAGGACGCCATGTCTGCTAAGCGCTAAATGCCTGAAATGAAAATGCCCGTGTTAGGTTCCCAGTCTCTCAAACATGACTTTTCCCACTTTGATGCCTCTGTAGCTCGAAAAATCACAATCAAGAGGGGACTGACTGACATTAAAACCACAGAGAGGGAAACGGCTTCTTTTGAGGTAGAGGTGTCCCATCCCAATGTCCCGGGCACATGGATGAGAAATGGACTCAAGCTTAAGCCAACTAATCACTTCCGTATGAGTGCAAAAGGACAAGTCCACAGCCTTACTATCTCTAACCTGTCAGTAGAAGACACTGGCACCTTTGTGTTCTGCATAGAGAATCTGAAGACCTCTGCAAGGCTTGTTGTAAAGGGTAGGTACTTTTGAGAAATCGCAAAGAGAAGCAGCTTTGCGATAATGAGTGCAAATTGCTCAACTGTTAAGCTCAATAATTATGTAAGTAATCCAGGCCAACTTATTATGCACTTCTGTTCACAGCAGGCAAACTGCAACTTTACTCATTTTGTTGTGACCTTAAACTGGTAGCTAAAGTGGCCCACTCAACGCTGGCCATGTGCCAACTAGTGAAGGCATGTAACAGAATGGATTGACAGCACTGCTACCACTGCCTTTATCCGGGCTCGTGTTACAAACACAAATTGGCCTAGCCCAACCAAGTGAAAAGCAGTAGCTCGGTTCTGAGTCTTTTCTGTCAGGTGTCATTTTAACCTCATGCTGTAAAATAATCCACTCCATAACCAGTCACTCAGTATGCATCATCCCTTTGAGCTCAGTATGAAATGCTGTCGATGACAATTGGATGAAAATGTCATCGCAATGAATCCATATAAGTTACTTCTAAAGGTTACTTTAATTTTGAGCAGCAATGCGTGTGAAGAAATTTAAGCAGGATTTTGGTTGTTAAGTAATCTCTTTCTGCACCAGAGCCCCCAGTGACCGTTTTCAGAAAACTGGAGAACCAGAGGTTCCCTGAAGGGGCAGTAATCTCCATCGAGTGTGAGCTGTCAAGACACAACGTGGATGTGAAATGGATGAAGGTCAGTGTTTGGTTTTTCTATTTATTCTTTACTGGCAACATTTGTGATACTGACAAAAGACCACAGAAAAAAACCACCCTGAAAACATTGATATTAAATGTTTTGGGGTTTTTTTAGAGTAATTTTCCCAAACCAACTCTTGATCTCTGCAGAATGTTCAAAGTAAAATTTTACTGCATTTGTTTGTTTTATTTTGTGTTTTCTTATCATTTTCAGGACGGGGCTGAGGTGAAGACCAGCAAAGACTTGCGCATTTATGCAATGGGAAGGAAACGGTTTCTCCAGATCATGAAATGCCAAGTCAGTGATTCTGGCATGTACACCTGCGATGCAGGAGATGCAGCTACATCCTGCACTGTGGAAGTCTACGGTACAGTCTACTATGTAAAATGATACCAACTTGATGGCAACCAAGTATTAAAGCAGTTGTAGGTTTAAAAAAATGTTACTGGTCCTAAATTTATATAGTTTTGATAATAATAATTATGGGGTGTTTTTTGCAATAAGGACCTTACAAAAACTAGATTGATGACTCACTACAGTGCCACATCAAATGGTTGGGCATTTTTATTCAGAATTACACAATTACTACCAAGGTCATCTTCTGAGCTATGATCAGACACTGTTAGATGGCTTGGAACCTGAATGCTACACAGCTGTAGCCGGTGTATTCAACAAGAATCACCTGTTGCTTCAACACTTATAAAGCCCACGTGCCTGATTATTGGTATCTATGCTGGTATAGCTGGACATTATAGCATCAATCACCAATTATTCGTAATTCAAACAAGCCAAGCTTTAGTTAGCAGTTAGCAATAACCTCACTAGCTCCCTCAGTCTCAGGATATTTTCTTTAGGTGATTTGATTGGCTAAAGGCCACGCTGAAGCATGTTGTAGTTGAACACAACTACACCAAACTACAACAAATAAGTAACTTAATAAGTTACTAAATATAATTTTGTATTGCCTGCCAGCGATTTGAGGTTGTGGTTAAGGCTCCATTATATCAAGGAGTACAGTAGTCTAATTTTGGAGATATTGTTGCTTTTTGGCTAACAGTACTATTAAGATTAGTAACTTTGTTCAATCTATTTGATGGAATTTTAAAAAGCAGTGAGATATTTTTTATCAAATGTCAATGCTCCCTTCAAAGTTAAATTAGCTTTTTGTTTGATACAACCGCTTAGAGCCTTGAAGACATAGGCATGTGCTTTTTATGCAGTACTTACCACAAAATGGCTATAGTTAGCGCTCCTGCTTCCATGTTTCTTTCTGATTCTTTACAATCTCATTGATGCTTTTAGCTTATGTTCTCTAATGTCTGCTTACAGCTAAAATATGTCATTTGCTAGTTTCAGAGTTGGAGTTCTGTTCAGAGTTCTGAGAGCTTTTTTGCACCTGCTTATTGCTAGCTTGTTTAATGAAGGAAAAAGAAAACAGCTCTGTAGGTCTCCCAGGTGCTCTGTATTTTTACATTGAATTCAGAGTCCATTTTAAGATACTGGTTCTGACATTTAAAGCTCTTCAAGAACAAGCACCAGCCTACATCATTGAAATTTTACAGCCCTATGTCCCTAGTAGGTCCCTGAGGTCTTGTGATCAGGGCCTACTTGTTATTCAGCATAGAAGGCTGAAAACCAAGGGAGATAGAGCTTTTACCACTGTGGCCGCCAGACTGTGGAACTCTCTTCCTCAGAACTTAAGATCTACGGACTCAGTGATCACTTTTAAAAAAAAAACCAACTAAAAACACATCTTTTTAGAATTGCATTTTGTTAACTTTTGTCTGTTTTTGTTTTATACCTTGTGAAGCACTTTGTGATCTTTTATCTAGAAATGTGCTGTATAAATACAATTTTACTTACTTACTTACTTACATGTGCATATAATGCAGTTCTCTTAATGTTTAAGAAGAACACAGCAGAGAATAAGTGTCTTTCTTCTTAAAAATCAAGATGAGCTACTAAGAAATTGTACTTGTGTGGATACCATCAGAATAATATTTGCAGATTCAGAGCTACATATAAAAAATACATTAGTTAAAAGTTTCTGTGTGTGAGAAAAATTAGAAACTTAGCTATACAAATATATTGCTCTAATAAAATGCTCATAATTGTAGCCCCAATAGTGCTATTAGGCTATTATTACTAATTAGATTGGGAAGTTAATAAGTAATTATTGATTAATAATAAAATTATTAGTACTGCTGGCTGTAGCTGGTATTTATGGCCATGTTGTTTTAGTAAGGAGTTGAAACTGCATTCTAGACGTGGCTTTCAGCTTTACAAATACAGCACAATGCTGCCATCTGCCTGCAACATTTATATGTTCTATGTCTGCTGGATGTGTGAATGAGGACTCCATTGTAATCTTATATATACAATGGAGTCCTCATTCATATATATTCATTCATATATATA